GTTTTTAATATATAACAAATTTTTAATTTTGATTTCAAACTTTTACCAGTAAGCCCATGGCTAGTAAGCCCTTTAAGGGTACTACCACCTTGTAATAATGATATTTATTAATGCCAGGAACAATACTATACAGAAAAAACAATATATAAAATTGTATGGTATGAGTCAGAAGCCAGGATAATCTGTACTAGTTTGATGACCTACAAAGTGCACAATTGCTAAGAAATATGGGGAAACCCAGCAAAACCAATATTACCAATGAAAACTAGTATAGATTTCCTGTTGATTTCACAAAATATTTACAAATAATAATTACTTACAATCACTTCGTTTATATCATCTAAGCTGTAAGGCTAAATAGAAATCAAAATTTGTTTGACCTTATTTTTGAAAGCTGATAGGCTCTTAGTGTTTTTTTAAAAGATCATAAAGCAAATTATAAAATTGCACATTTGTAACAGCATCCCTTTTCCATTAGGGTAGTTATGAGCGTCGTAAGACAAAAATTATTTCTAAACCTTGTGTTGTGAAGGTGGTCTGCTATATATTCGTTAAATATAATACACTCATATATGTAACTAGCATATATTGTCAACAAATTTAGATTTTTAAAGTGACCTCTACATGATTCTGTAAGCTTCAGATTAGCCAATATTCGAGTTGCTCTTTTTTGTATTACAAAGTCTTCTTGACAGTATGAACTTCCAGAAAAAATAATTACATAGCACATTGAAGAATTGAATAGACCATAATAACTGATATAAGATAAAAATGACCTACGACTTTTTTTAACTTGTTTTAATGCAAAGCAAGCTCTGCTGAGCCTTCCACAAAGTGAATGTAAATGTTGCACCCAAGTTAGATGCTCATCAATTATTACACCGAGAAATTTTGTCGATTTAGAATATTCTAGTAATATATTACTTATGTTAATATCCTCTGGATATTCATTTTTATTACAACTGTGCTTGAAAAGTATTCAATTAGTTTTAGATAAATTTAATTTTAATAGCGAGTTTTCAGCAAAACATTTTAAAATTCTCTCTACAGAATTTCAGGTATCTTTTTCGAGTACTTTGTAATGGTTTTTAGATAGTAAGATATTTGTATCATCGGCATAATTAGTGAGAGCTACAGAATCATTTGTAAAAATTTTGGTAAATCGTTTAGATATAATATCAATAAAATAGGACATAAGAAACTTCCCTGTGAAACACCCAGCATAATATTTTTGGATTCGGAGTAATATTCGCTATTGTTATATTTAAAACAAACCCGTTGTGTCCTATTTAAAACATAAGATTAAAACCAGTCATATGCATTACCTCGCACCCTTATTTTGTATAATTTATTAACCCTGCTACTGCACACTTATTTTTCAAGACACAAACTGCACATTCGGGTCTCAATAACCCAATAAATAAAATGGAGTTTTTTCAAGTTGGTAATATTTTTTTATTGTTTTTACACATGGAATGGTTATTTTGAAGAGCATATAACATATTAAAAAGTAGTCTAAACAAATGTTTTTATTTTAAAAATATAAAAGTAAAAAAAGAAAAAAAAAAGTTGCATCAAAATGCATGACTTTTTAGAAATTCACAAAAAATAACAAAAACTAAAATTTTCGAATTCTAAGTATACAAAACGTTTTAACCAAATGTCATTCTTTTTTATTGTGCATTTGAAAAAATTATAATTGCTTAACTTTTTCTTAGTCAGTCTAATAAATCAGGCTGATAAATCAGTCTCATTGCCCTCTGTTTATTGCAAAACGATTTATGGCACACGCTACAATGCATATTTGTTTTTATGTCTTTTTTCCTATCGCAAAAACTGCAACGAACTTTTCGCCGCAAATTTTCGTCATTTGGCACAGACTCATTTAAGATTTCCATTATTCTTTTGACGCAGTGATTTTCTAAGCGTTAGCAACGGTAGTCGTTCTCTGAGCAATGTTATTACCAAGGACATTCCCAGCTCTTTTAGGAAATTTCTGCGTGTCCGATTTTTTTTTCTGCCCAATCTCCCCTAGAAAGGTAAGCAAAATCATCGAATTGATACCACTTCCATCAAGCATACCATAAAACACTCGCATAGACCATCTATTTGTTTTTCGTGCTGTGGTATATGAATAACACAACTGATCGAAGGTGTCTGTACCACCTTTGGTTGCGTTGTATGTCTCAGTTATAGTTGTTTTATTTGTCTCGTGATCAATGAAATCGTCATGGTGTAAGGTGAAAATTAGAAGAACGGTTTTATTTTTTTTTTAGGTGTGAAGGAAACCAGAGTTTTGTTATTATCGAAAGCGAATAACGACGACCATACTTCCTTTTTTGCCAAGAAACTAGGCGGAATTTCTCTTTTGTTTTTCCGCAAAGTTCCTACCATTGTTAACTTATGTTGCTCAGATAGAAGATTAGTTAATAGAATCGAAGTGAACCAATTATCAAAAGTTAGGTTGCGATTGGTATTGTGTATGGGTTCGGACAATTTTCTAACATAATAGGTTGGCACACTTTCATTATTTTCGCAGTTCACTTTGCCCAAATAAGGAATAGCATTCAACAAGTAATAGGTCTTAGCATCATTTACCATTAGTATTTTCAAGCCGTATTTATCGGGTTTGCTGGCCATATAGATGCGGAAGCTACAACGGCCACGAAAACTCATCAGTTCTTCGTCTTATTGTGTAATATTCATAGGGTGTGTAGTATGCCTTGCAGTTGCTTATATATACATCCCATATTTTTCTAATTGGAGCAAATTTCTTAGTCTAACGTCGCATATGTCTATCAGCCTTGTTATCAAAGCGTAAGTTAGTAGCTAAAAACTGAAATCTTTGCTGGGACATGGTTGCCCGGAAAATTCCCATCCCAAAAACAAGGGACCACAATTATTCTGTGCTGCAATTTGAGACACGCAAGGCTCCCGCTATATAGAGAAGACTAGTGAAAGCTCTTACCTCAATAACGTTTGTGATAATCAAATTCCAAACTTCTAAAGGGGTGTTACGATCAGATTTTGCATTTTTTTAATAACGTCACTTTATTAAACAATTTCATTTATTTTCATTTTTCTGAAATAACAAATAAAATTTATTTGACACATTTTCAAAATTTCATCTTCACTACTTTGTTTTCTGGGTGTAGAGTAATTTCTTGTTAATTCAATTTATAAATCGATTATGGGGTAGCGTTCGATATGATTGTTATTTTAAGGATGTACATTTTGTATTAAAAATAGCAAATGTTTTATAAGAGGTTAATAATTAGTTCATCTGTATTGGGATTTAGTTGATCCAGCAGATAACAATATTAATTGTTGTAAATAACTCGTTGTGGTTATTTATCGATGTATCGGAATGTAAATCGATTATCGATTTGTTCCGTGGTCAGATTCGAAACTATTCGATTTGTAGATATCGAATGTTTGGTTAGAGAAATGAGAAAATACGCAGTTTCCTTTCTTTTCAAGTTTAAAAGTCAATCTGAAAGGTCGTCATTAATAAAGCCTGTGTGTGTGTGTTCGTACTTATAATTTTATGCATTTTGGAGATTTTTGATATTGCATAATATTTAAAACCACCCTTAGTGTTGGGATTGCGGGATTTGAACACCATACATATTTTTTAATAATATAGTTGAATTCTGGATTTGGCTAATGACGCAATTGGAGAAAGCGGCTGGTAAGTTTTTTTTTGTCACTTTTTTTGAGTATCTTCATAAAACACGTGTTTTTAGGAGCGTTTTATACCAAGTTTTGTATCAAGTATTTGGTTAACGATTTGGATAGCGATTGGTACAAAGTTATTTTCGATATGTACGATCTGTACAACGATTTGGGTAACGATGAATTGTTATTTGATATTTACCATGTTAATGATAATGGAGAATATTTTATGGAATTTGACCATATATGTGATGTTGTACCATACACATTTGATGTCCTGTTAATTGGATTTTCTTTGAGTTTGATTGGATGTCGTTCAGTCTAAGAGTTTTGTTTGTCGAGAGGTGTACAATGAGTTTATGTAGTTTGCGGTTTACATATTTAACATAGAGCCACCAACATTACCATTTTGATGTCCACCTAAGTATCTATTCTTAATGAAACAGAGTCTTAATATTCGGATGCTCCGTGGATTGTTTATCTACTGTTTAAGCTAAGTAATTTTGTATTTATATATTTTTAGTGTGGTCTCGAGCATAGACTCATAGGTTTTTGTTTTGGCTCCAACGAATTACATTTTGTTATTTTCAGTAACTTTAATACTAAATTATTTTGTCAAATTTTAGTAATTCGTTTGAGTTGAAATCCTATTTAAATTTGATGTAATCTGTTGAACTTTATCAATGTCCATGTATGAACTTGATAATTTTTTATGATTTAATAAGTTGCAACTTATGAAACTTATAGAACATATAAAAGTCTTCGATGTTATACGTTGACTCGATTCTTTACTTTGCATTTATTTAGGTAAGTTATATTTTGTTCTTTTGGATTTAACCTGGTTAAATTTAACTGTCATCATTTTAACTTATCTATTTACAGCATTTAGTGTAATATTTTATTTGTAAGCTGTTAAATGTTCCTTTGTATAGGACTTATTGTATTCGACACTTGACTAATGTAAAAATGTATATATTTTTGTAATTATTATCTATAACAACAACTAATCAGTTCTATCTTTGTGACTACTTTCATTTATCTTAAGTTTCTTTGCTGAAGTTTGTTTAAAAAAAAAAGGTTAAAATAAATTTGATTGATTTACACAGTTATTATAGTTTTATTTATATTTAGGTAATGGAAAACTTAAATTCTGGCCCGACCTTTAGTACACCAACTAAAGTTAGGAGAACCCAAGAACCCATTGCATAGTCTAATGCTCACAGCTACCCACACAGCAAAATAACCGGTAGCAGGTGTTTTTACTTTTCTAGCGTCACCTTTAGGGCCGGGCAAATGTAAAACAATGTTGTCAGCTCTATTTTTACCTCTTAGAACGCTTTTATTTCTCGCCGCTCTTGGAGGCCTCTCTTGCTCATTGCTTTGTTCATTCTCATGAGCATTGTTTTGTTCACTGTTATTTCCACTAGCTTGTTCACTGTTATTCTCACCAGCTTGTTCACTTTTCTTTTCACTGTGTTCTTCATTTTCATTGTCACTGTTCTGTTTATTTTCATCACCCTGTTCACTTTCACAAGCACTTTGTTCATCGTCTTCCTCATCCTCCTCCGCCTCATAATCGTTTTCGCTATCCGAAAATTCTCCAATTTCATATCCATTTTCATAGTCTGGACTGTCCCAAGATTATCTACAATCTCCTGCAGTTCCTTATCTATTACCGGACGATTATCGTTCCTATTAGCCTTAGACATCTTCCTACAAAATAATAGAAAATAAAATTTCTAATAGAAAATATGTAGCTTAATCCTGCACACTGGGGTTTCAGTAACCAAAAAGCAGCTAAAATCAAATTTTACCACTCGTATACAACTGTTAACTGAATTTACATGGCACTGGCCCAAGGTCACAATCGAAACACTGCGCACAAGGTAGAATATATATAAAGTGCACGTGGGTTTTCTAGACCCCAGTGTGTAGTAGCAGAGTTAAGAAGTATATGGTGATTCACACAATCAAATGCCTTTGTTAAATTTAAGAACACTCCGTGAACAATATTTCCCAAATCTAAAAAATGTAAAAAAAATGTATGTATCTGTATATATATATATTTCGAATAAAAGGGCAATCCACAAAAAAATTCTATAGTAGGTCATGACCGGCAAAAAGATAAAATTAATGTCTGTGACAACTACGCACGGTTCTGATTTTAAAAACAAATTGAGACTTCAGAAGAAGAACTGTATCCTCCAGTATACTTTTTAAACATTTTTTGATGGATCACTCCATGTATGATAGCGTTAAATACAATTATTTTTTTCTTGTAAATAAATAACACAAAACGTCACTTGGCCGTTTTTACTTATATTCGAGTTTACTTGTTTAAGTTTTAGTAGTAGTTTAATGACAAACAAAAAATTTAACAAAATAATAAAAACGCAATTAACAAAATAATGAAAGTAAAATTTATTTATATATATATATATATATATATATATATATATATATATATATATATACATTAGACTTTCAAAAGAGGTGGCCTTTGCTCTACGTGAAGATATGGAAACAACAATAGATCTCCAACTTTTTTTGTGACTGACCTATTTTTTTTTGTATCCATCGTTGAATCAATGACCACAGTTATTTTTTATCAGAACGAAAGAACAAGAATTAAAAATTGACATTATTTATTAACACTGACATGACAATAATCAATATTGCAACATAACAACTTGAAAGTATTGAAATATCTTGATTATTATTGGTCAGTTTCCAATATTTTCGTATTTAATATCAATGTAAAAAACTTTCATGTGATTTATATTGCTTAAAACCATTTTCCTCTGGTTATTGTTCAAAATTTTAATTTATCTAATTAAAAAACGTGCGTATAAATTATATTCGTTTAGTACGTCCCCCGTATCCAACAAACGATTCGCATCCGGCGGAAAATAAAAGCGAATATCACGGCAAATACGGTCTCAAAAAGGGCTTCCTAATAATTTATGAGGCCTTAATTCAAAACAACCTCAACAATATTTCTGTGATAAATTTGAAGCTGAGGCTTCCAGTTTTCTCCCAGGTCTTTTGTTTTAAATTCATTTTAAGTTTAACCACAAGTAATACCGTTTGATTGGATTATTCAAATTTAATAGGATAAACAAATTTGTCTTTTACTTTGAGGTAGTTACCCGCAACTGATAGCAAATTTAAATTTTAAGAAGTGTTCAGGGGCAACACCTGAAAAATTAGTTTTAATAAAAATTGGAAAATATTCTCTTTTGGAGATAAACTAACAATTTTTGTATTTACACAAAAAGTATGACAAATATAACTGAAATAGTAATAGTCATAAATATGCGTAGTAGAGAGAAGGGTCCTGACCTAAAGCGAGCCTTTTACGGCTCGTGGGCACAAATATCATGTAGCTATCCAAATACAAGGCATTGATATAAGTTTTGAAAATGAAAGCTTAATTGATAATGTGGCCCTATTTACTACACTTACTTCTTATGAATGTTCCAGAGAAGTTTATTGGCCAGGGTTAGCCCTAGATATTTGACTTCCTTTTTACATTTTACATTTTAAATTGAATTAATATAATATAATAATATTAAATAATTTAGACTTGCATTCGAAAATTATGCGCAATTCCTCGAAGATATTCCATGGTATTACGAGCGTCGTAGAATTCTGTAAGTAGTTTTAAACGACGTGCAGAATCTTTGTAAAATTTTTTTTTGAGTAATTTTATTACCTGCCACAATTTGCTCTATTTTCAATTTGTTAAGGCTTTCCTCCTTTTGTAAAGCCTTAATTAGCCTCCAAATGTTGGGATGTGAATGGAAACAATTGAACTGAAACTGTTATGCCATCCTTCAACTGCATTATTGGTTCTAACAATTCCCTCTCTGGCTGCATTGTAACAATTCCAAGAAGATATAGGAAATTTTGGCAACCGTCTTCTTCCTATTCTGTCTAATCTACTAATCCACGTGTCTTCAAAATAGTTTATTAAATCTGCTAAGTCCTCGTTTTCTGCATATAATTCACTTTCCAATAATAAATTAAAAAGCACTCTCTACATCGTCTTCAGGAACATAAGCAAGTGCAGCCAGAAGTCGCAAATTTGATGAAAACACTTCTTCATTCACATATCGCCTCTGAAATCCGGTATTCTGAATTTGTCTCCATATACACTGAGAAAAATGAAAAAAGCATCCACGAATTTGAGTATTAGGGAATTCACTTCGTATCGCATTCATCGCTGCTTTTTCGAAATCCATTAAAAAAGATGTAGGGCAAAGTTCAGGTTTCAAATTTTTTAATGCTGCATATAAACGTCTATAGCTTTCTTCTCTTTTATTCGGCAGAATTGCATATACTGTTGGAATGGTATTTGAATATTTGACGCCATGGATTGTATATATTTGGGAAAACATATTAGAGGCTGTTGAAAAAGTTCCATCTCCGTACCAGTGTTCACACTCCAACATGTAGTCAAGATTTCTTGCTGTTGTAAACACTAATATTCGATCTTCTGATGGGCCGCTGTCGTACATTAAAAATAACTGACCACTGCTTGTTAGTGTATATTCCTGTGGAATAACTAATTAAAGCAGAGGATTTGGAATCGCAGGAATTCCTTCTATCTTTTCCTTTTTTCGTTGAATAGTTCTTTTCATTGCACTCACTTGTGGTAATCTAGCTGCAGCCGATGATGATAAACCCTCGGAAACCTTTGCAATGATTTGTTGAGCTAATACTTTTATTTTTTTAATAGCTCTTCTTACTTTGGCATCAGCACTATCTGACACGATTATGTTCGGTACTCTTCACAATTTCATCGCCTATAGTATGAATGCGACCGGTACATCTCCATTTATGATATAGAAAACATTTCCTTTTTCTCCAGAAATTTTTTCTCTAGAATGTGTATGGCCATTTTATAAAAGCATTTTGTGACCTCTTTCGCTGTCAACAAATTGTAACGGCATTTTTAAATTTTACAATGATGTAAACTCGTATAAAGACAAAATAAGAATGATTACAGTTCGTTGGTATTTCTTATTTAAACCTTATATACATATATTAAAAACAGGGCATCTAAAATATTAACTTACACAAACAAGCTATTGAAGATAATCCTTTTTAGAATTAAATATTGATTGCACTATGAATTTCTCCTTGAAAGGATTAATAAAGGATAATTATAATTCTCTATTATTATTAACTAATGTGGTAACTTACCCGAATTGGCTAATGAAGATAATCCTTTTTAAATAGTAGGTAAAGGACTGTTGAGAACCTGCGACTGCCGCTTATACACTTTAAATTGGCTTATCAATAATACATTATTGATATTTATTATATTTTTCTTAGTAAAAACTACTTGATTAGCAGAAAAAAAGTAAATCATATTTTGGTGTAATTTAGAGTAAGATATTTTGTAATTTTTTCGAAAAAATAATTTTATTTGGTACTTATAAGAAAAATTCAATATAACACAAAAAAAATTGTTTGTTTTTCAGACATACTGTATAAATCATAGATACAATACGATATTTTTGTGGCGATGAATTGTCGTAGCGATGAAAAGTCGTGGCGATGAATTGTCGGCTCTGAAAGGTCGCGCGATAAATTGTCGCGCGACGAATTGACTGGATACCATTTGAAACCAGTCACTGACAGAATTCTCGCAGTAAATAATTTGGTGGTTCCAATAATCTACTGAGCAGAATTCTGGTGTCAGTGGCTAGTTTCTGATCGTTGTTGAAATATAAATTATGTCGTCGGCATAACCTTAATAAAGATTACATGTTTCATAACATAAAATATTAATAACACATTGGTAACGACAATCTGTCTCAACTGTAAGTATCAATTCAAACTTATTAAACTACTGGACAAAATTAACAAAATTTGCCACATATTTGATGCTATTTTTTTTTTTTTTGAATTTACGATCCGATTTGAATGATTTTTTTTTTACAAAAAAGGAACAACATGTTCAATAACAATTTTTGGAGAGATATTGCAACTTGCCCTTTGCCAAAGACGTTCACATCCATCAGGAGAATTGAGACTAACTCTCGTTTCATCAGAAAATAAAACCTTCATACAATCATTAACAGTCCAATGTTGATAATTTCTGGCAAAACGCAATCTTGCAACTCTGTGCTCTTTGGTAAGTAATTGATTCTTTGCCGGTCTTCTGCTGCTTAAACCAGTCTCATTTAAATGTCTCCTGATTGTTCGAGACGATATTGTATTAACAGTTCTAAGCTCACTATTTAGCCTATTACTATCCCTTGGATCGGTACATCGTTTTCGTCCTTGTCCTGACCTTTGAGATTAAGATCCTGTCTCGTTAAATCGTTAAACCATACGACTTATAGTCGAACGATGTCTTCCTATCACATTAGCAACATGACACATCGAATAGCCCTTATTTACGAAAGTTAAGGCTCTTACTTCTTTTTCTGCCGATACATTTTTTGGACGATTTATTTTTCAAGGTTAAAATACTCGTCGGGCAACTAAGCATACGAAACGGACGTTTAATTAGCAGTTTCGGGACAGTTTTTAATCAGTATGGCGAATTTTATTTGACCTTTGTAACTTTAAAATTCAACATCTATTGACATTGACACATCGCTTGAAATGT